GCCGCCGCCTCCCGCGGGCCGGCAGTTCAACGCCACGCCAAACCCCGCGAGAGCCGGGACAAATACCGCGAGATCATTGCGGGGGGACGGTGCTGCGTGCGTGGGCGTTCGCTCTGCCGTTCCAACCGCGGCGTGATCCTTTGCCCCGCCCTTTTCTCGCCCAATCCGGAGGCGTGGACGCTCCTGCGCCTGACTTTGTTGTTCTCTGGCGTGAACCGAGTATGGCTCCAGTTGTTCAATGTTTTTGTTTTGTTTTGTTTTTTTGGTACCGGGGGTCGAACTCGGGTGCTTGCGCTTGCGAAGCGGCGGAACCATTGAGCTAAATCCCCGGCCTAAGTTGAAGTTTAAGTGGAGTCAGTAAATTTCCTAAAGGAGAGCTTTAAAGTGGGCGTATAACCGCCCACATTTATTTTTTAGAAGTATTCCTATTGAATTATTTTAATTTTATGGATTTAATTATACAATGTACTTAACAGGAAAATAAAATATCAAAATAGTAAATTTCTAATATATGATGAGTGTTTAGAATAAGTGTTAACATTTTCAACATCAACTGTTTACTTGCTTACAAAGTCTAAAAAATAAATATATGAGAAGTCCGGCATGAGGAAGTGACCGCTTGAGCTAAAGCCTTTGTACGTGAATTACAATGAAAATGCAAACAAAACTCTACCACAGCAAAAATCTTTCCTAAGTCAGTCTTCACACATAAGTGCATGTTCCACACACGTCTTACCAATAGCATATGTGTTGTATTTTTCCGTCTTCTTTGGTAGGACACACTTGACATCTTGCTGGTCTGTTTTCTTAGGACGTTCTTACGGGGTTTCACCTGTCCGCTGGTCTGCTTCAGCTTTTTTTCTTTCTTTCTTTCTTTCTTTCTTTCTTTCTTTCTTTCTTTCTTTCTTTCTTTCTTTCTTTCTTTCTTTCTTTCTTTCTTTCTTACGGGGTTTCACCTGTCCGCTGGTCTGCTTCAGCTTTTTTTCTTTCTTTTTTTCTTTCTTTCTTTCTTTCTTTCTTTCTTTCTTTCTTTCTTTCATAGAACTTCGTACCTCACACTTGCCAGGCAGGTGCTGGCTGCTCTGCAGCTGACAAGTCAAGTTTTGTTTGCTGACTAGGGAGTGCTTACAGTTAGAAAAGCTTAGACTTCTTATATGACATGCAAAAGTACTCCATGGGGCCTGGGATTTAGCTCAGTGGTGCGGCTGCCTGCTTTGCAAGCTCAAGGTCCCAAATTTGATCCCTGCTACCCAAATTAAAAAAAAAAAAGTCACTTGATAATTTTCAGAGTCCTTGTAGCTCAATGGCTGGGCAGTTTGTCAGGCATCTCTGGACTAGCATGCTGCCCTGGTACATACTGGGGTGTGAGTCTTTTCTGTCTTGCCAGACTTTGGGGGTCCCCTAAAGCCAGGGGCCAGTATCCTTCCACTTCTGTCTCTTCATTGTGGAGCCCAGCATAAGCCCTGGCCCAATGAAGGTGACTGTTATGACTGAATCAATGATATAGATGAGTAAATGGACTTGAGACAGGAAAAAAAAAAAACCATTGGAATGAAGGATCTCTGTTTAGCCTGGCCCCTGCCTGCAGGGCTAGTTCCCTTTATGATCATGTGTCAGCTCTCTTGGGTTCCCGTCTCGGCTGCAGTGTTACCTCCATAGGTCACCTCTGAATATAATCTAGTGGCCACACAAACTTGTCTCAGCATATTACCTCTTGTAATTCCCTGAAGATCATGATCGCCACTGTCTTTCTCCCTAAGGTTTTACGAGCACAGACCCTGGCTTCCTCACTACAATCTTCCTGGGATCTACCAGTTGATCAATAAACATTTTAAAAATTAATTAAATACAACAGAAATAAAAACAACTTGAATGTAATTAGGAAGGAGGTCCTAGCGACTCCAGAGAATCTGTGGTACTTTCATTAAGAACACAGGTAATGTTAAAAACACTATGTGAGCTATAGTAATACTAAAATGAAGATACTGTGAATCAGCTCGTCTTCAGTACCGCAGCTGTTGCAAAGGCTCAAGGGCACCGCAGATGCAGATGGCACTGACTGTCACTTCCTCCCTCGTCCTGTCACTGTTAGGAGTCCCAAATGACTCCACGGTGTGGAAAAGAACGTTCTGTGGGGCACCTGTCCTTGCATTATTTGCCCCCCTCATCTGAGGTGCCCATCCTCATCCCAGGAATATGAGGGGGCAGAAGTCTCCACTGCCACAAATCCTGAGCTGGCGTAGAAGAAAAAAAATAGAAACAAGGGTTGAAATAGAAAAGCGTTGAAAGGAGGGGAGGGGAATTGGGGAAGATACAAATTCCCTACGGTGAATGTTATCATTACATATATCAAAAGTACACCAATAAAATTATTATAGCTACAAGTATAGCTACAACTATTGTTTCATTTAAAAGGTAAGGTGTGCCCAAAGTAATGTCAAAGTTTTCAGTACCACTTGTGTGAGTGTTATCTACTATCGATTGGCAGGTGAAAAAGCAAGGAAGAGAACAGTATGGCCAAACTATGAGATTAGATTTAATTTGAATAAAATAGGTGTGAGAATTTGAAGAAGAGTCTGGCTGGGAAATCCAGACGGGGGGTGGGGTGGGGAGGGCAGCGAGGCCGGCCTTGCGCGGGAGCTCAGGAAAAGGGCACCCTGGAAAAGGGCACCGAGCGAGGCAGCCTGGGCTGCGCTCAACCTGCAGGATTGCGGGTTGGTTCTGCGCCCGCAAACGAGAAGATCCTCCCACTGACGGGGACGCAGGGTGGCAGGGCCCTCGCCTGGGGCGCCGGGCTTACTCCGCAGGCCTCCGCCCTCCCCTCGCGGAAGCTGCCTGCGGAGCCTCCTTCCGGTCCAGTCTGCCGACCTGGGCAGAGCCCTCGCTCCGCATCCTCTCCCTCCGTCTCCCCTCCCCCGTTGCTCTGCCCCTGCTTCCGGAGACCACCCCCAAATCCCCCGGCTCCACGGGTCTCAGCGCGGCCCTGATCAAGCGGGCTCAGTGCTTGTCCGTCGGGAGCCGCTGCCGTCCGGGGCCAGCTGACGGTCACCCGCGAGCCCGGCGCTGCTGGGAATCGAGACTTCGTAAACGTTATCGATGAGTTCAGAACTAAAACCACCGCACATCCCGGACACACCTGCTGTGTGCGCCGGCGGGTAGGTGTGGGCACCAGGAAGACTACACATGGGCTGGAACCGCAAGGACAGCAGACGTGGGGGTGTGGGAGCAAGGGATCCAGGGCCCACTGCCCTCAAACAACCCGGAGAGCACAGGAGTATTTACTCCATTATCTCAACCTCTCAGGCCTGGGAGGCAGATACTGTTTTCATTATCTTTTTTTTTTCTTTTCAGACGGGAGTTTTCTATGCATTACAGGCTGGCCTCAACCTTGCTGGGATTACAGGTGTGCGCCACCAAGTCTAAGATTTATCTTCTTAGAGGCGAAGAAACAGAGGTCTCAAAGGTTAGAGGACAAAACTGGAGTTCACATTGAGTCTTCTCTATTATTTATATATTACAGCCACCCTAGATTCCATCCTGACTCCAACAAGGAACAGGCAACCAGGTTAATTTTGGATTCCGCTAATAAGACTCTGCCTCCTCCTATGCATAAGTCTTCAGAGGGAAGAGTTCTTATAGGACATAGCTGCCAAAGGCAGAAGGAATGACAAAATTGGAAAATCACCATTATGTGATCGTTAATCAATTAAAAGAGAAAAGCTCAGTAGATCACATTCAAGTGTGAGGCTGTTGGGAACTCGAAGGTGACTGATATCAGGCCGCTTCCTGATGTGGTGCAAAGGCAGGCACATGTCCCCTCCTGCAAAGTGTTTCTCCCAGTTGTTGATTCTTTGTACTAGTTCCTGTGCTACTAAGGATTTGTTTACAAAGTCGTTTTCTATGCCAGTGTCTTCAAGAGTTCTGCCTAACTTATCTTCCAGCAGGTTTAGTGTTTCTGTTTTAATATTTAGATCTTTAATCCAGTTGGATTTTAGTTTAGTGCATGGTGAAAGATAAGGGTCTAGTTTTAATTGGCAGGTTGAAACCCAGTTTTTCCAACACAATTTATTAAAGAGGCTATTCTTTCTTCCACTGAGGATGGTTGGCTCCTTTGTCAAAGATGAGGTAGCTGAATACATCTGGAGTTGTTTCTGTATCTTCCAATTTATTCCACTAATCCTCCAGTCTTTTTCTTTGCCAGTACCATGCTGTTTTTATCACAGTGGTTTTGTAGTATAGTTTCAAATTGCAGATTGTGATACCCATGTCATATCTCTGTTGCCTAAAATTGCTTTTGCTATTCTAGGTCTCCTCTGGTTCCAAATGAATTTTTGGATTATTTTTCTCTAGTTCTGTGAAATATACTGTTGGAATTTCAATCTGGATTGCATGGAATCTGTATAGCAGTTTTGGTAGTATAGTCATTTTCACTATGTTGATTCTTCCTACCCAGGAGCAAGGGATATCTTTCCATTTTCTTATATCCTCTTTGATCTCTTTTGTCACAGTGCTGTAGCTTTCACTTAGAGGTCTTTTGCTTCCTTCACTAGATTGATTCCTAAATGGGATGCTATTGTGAAAGGAATTGTTTCCTTAATTTCTCTCTCAGTGAGTCTGTTATTTGTGCACAAGAAGGGTATTGATTTTTGAGTGTTGATCTTGTATCCAGCTACTCTTCTGAAAGTGTCTATTTAAGTCTAGAAGTTTTTGGCAGAGTTTTTTGAGTCTCTTCTATGTAGAGTATCATATCATCAGCAAATAATGACAGTTTAACTTCTTCCTTTTCTATCTTTATTGCTTTATTTCTCATGTCTAATAGCTGTGGCTAATGTTTCCAGAACTATATTGAACAGGAGTGGTGATAGTGGACATTCTTTTCTTGTCTGATTTTAGAACAAAGGTTTTCAGCTTTTGGCCATTTATTATGATGTTGGCTGTTGGTTTTTCATTGATAGCCTTTATCAAGTTGAGATAAAGACCATCTATTCTAATTTTCTGCAGGGTTCTTATCATGAATGGGTGTTGAATTTTGTTGAATGCTTTTTCTGCATCTACTGAGATGATCATATGGTTTTTGTCCTTGATTCTGTTGATATAGTGTATTACATTTATTGATTTACATATGTTGAACCATCCTTGCATCCCTGGAACAAATGACTTGGTCAGGGTGTATGATCTTTTTGATGACCCTCTGTATTCTGTTTGCCAGTATCTTATTGAAGATTTTTGCATCTATGTTCATTAGGGAGATTGGCCTATAGTTTTCCTTTGGCTGGGTCTTTCCCTGGTTTTGGAATCAAAGTAACACTTGCTTCCAAGAATGAATTTGGAAGTATTGCTTCCCTTTCAATTTCATTGAAAAGTTTAAAGAGTAGTGGCAGTAGGTATTGTCTAAATGTCTTGCAGAATTCAGCAGTGAAGCCGTTAGGACCCGGGCTTTTCTTAGTTGGTAAACTTTTAATTACATTTTCAATTTCACTGATTGTAATTGGGGTGTTTAGAATTTTTTTATCTTCTTCAACTTTGGTAATTCGTAAGTATCAAGAAATCTGTCCATTTCTTCTGTGTTTTCCATTTTATTACAGCACAGTTTCTCAAAGTAGGTATTGATGATCCTCTAGATTTCTGCTGGATCTGTTGTGACTTCAAGGTTTATTTTCAATGCATGAATAAACATGACTGTTTACAGTATTTCACTCCATTATCTCACTTTTAATCTTGACTAACTTTAAATATACAGTCTACTAACAGCAAATACACTCGGGTAACAAGAACCATGTTTTTTTGTTTTTGTTTTTGTTTTTTTTTTTTGGTACCAGGGATTGAACTCAGGCAGGCGGCGGCACCACTGAGCTAAATCCCCAGCCCTATTGTTTCATTTCATATATCTGGGTACCAACATACTAGAAAGGTGACAGAGTAACAGCAGGGGAGGGGCACTTGTTCAATCTTCCTTTGAAACAACTTAAGTCTCTGTCTTTCCTTCTTCTGCAAAGTCTTTCTTAGGTGATCAGGAGACAAATTTCTCCTCACAGGCTATTAGCACTTTACAGGGCCTGTCCCATCCAAGCTGAGCATCTGATGTAATGACATCCTATGCATGCAGGTCAGCAGTATCCAGGGAAGGTGCCTGAGAGTCTTAGAGTTTTGTTCTCCTTTCTTAGTCTAGAATTTCAAGTCATGCTTTTCAAGGCTCTTGGTTCAAGGAGATGATTATAGCTGAGATCAGGCAGACAGACTCCTGTCTTGGAGTAGTCCATTTTTTTATTTGCCCAAAGGAGGTTCTTTTCTCTGGAGACTGATGTGGTCACATTATCATAAATTCTTGGTGGAGAATGAGATACAATACTTGGTTTTCTCATCAACTCTGTAACTCTCAACTCCTGGGATAGCCCTCATTCCGGAATGACACCAGGAGCCACTGACAGTTGTGTGAGTGGGGGTCCTTGTGTGACCTTTGGCACCTTTGCAGGGCTGGTGGAAGGCACTGCTGTGGCTTGTCTCACTGTTGCAAAGATAGCTGGCATCTGAAACTCCAGTGCCTTTTCAACTTCTCCTCCATCACTTTTTGATTCTCTTAAATACTTTAGAAGCCTTTATTTTGGTATCAGCATTGGTATCCTGTACCACCAGTGTTTTTCTTTCTTCATCTAAATATTTCTTTTTCTTTTTTTGAGACAGGGTCTTGTTCTGTAGCCCAGGCTGAGCTTGAAATCACAGCAATTCTCCTGCCTCAACTTCCTGAATGTTGGGTTACAGGTGTGTGCCATCATGCCCAACTCTTTTTCCTTTTATGTTTTGGGATTTTTTTTTTTTTTTTTTTTTTTTTTAGGTAAACAAATATTCCTGGCATGTTTTTTTTTTAACCAGGGATTGAACTCGGGACCATGTGCTTGTGTGGTAGGCGTGGTGCCACTGAGCTAAATCTCTGGTCCTTTCTGCAGTTTTAACTGTACTTCCTGTGAGAATCTCTCAGCAAATCTATTTGAAAGAAATCATGGTGTAGGAGCTCAGCACAGAAGGGCCTTTTGTCTTGGTCAACATGTAAAAACTCTACCATAATGAAAGCCAGGCATGGTGGTGCAACCTTGTGATGCCAGCACTCAGGAGGCTGAGGCAGGAGGATTGGGCCAAGTTCAAGGCTAGCTTGCACTACACAGTAAATTCAAGGCCAGCCTGGACTACACAGTGAGACCCTCACTCAAAAAACCAACCAAATGGGCTGGAGATTTGGCTCAGTGGTTCTGCCACCTGCCTCGCAAGCGCAAGGGCCCAAGTTTGATCCCCAGTACAAAAACAAACAAACAAAAAACCCCAACCAACCAAAGACAAACAAACAAAAAAACACAACCTCAGAGAGTTTAGGATACTATCGTTCTAGAGGTTCTACTTCTTTGATTTCAGGCAATTGTACTCCAGCAAATGCAGAAGTTTTATGAAATAGCTCTTGGTATCTTGCAGTTAAGTTGCCTCAATATATCATATTATAGAATTAATCAATACACAAGTCTACAGGAAACATTGGTCACTCTGTGAGCATTTTAGTTACCGGATAACCGCTGGCTCACACAACACCCTTGCTGTAGTACTTGACATCTCTAAGAGTTCTGGAGCTCTGTACCACTTGGTAGCTACATAATCAGTATAAACCCCCGAGGAGCTGCCAATGTCCATGAAAACCCAGTCACATAAATCCATACCAGACTGGGAGACTAATAAAGTCTTTGGCTTTGTACCTCTGTGTGTGATGTGATGGACAAAATCTAATTCCATTTCTAATCAGAATACTTTTTTTTTTGGTATCGAGGATTGAACTTGGGACCTTGTGATTGCGAGGCAAGCAGCAGAAGCACTGAGCTAAATCCCCACCCAGAAATAAATACTTTTGAACTACTTGGTGATCTAATCCATTTGCAGAGTTCCAAGTCATCAAGAATTGTGGAGTCAACAAATTCAAAGACCAGGTGCCATCTTTGTTTGTTTTACACACTTCCAACAGATTCACCAAATTCTCATGCCTCAGTTGCTTTAGTATTGTGCTAACACAGGAACTGTTTAATCATTGTGATATCATTCTAAGAACTTCACGCCCACAGTTCTTCTACTACCTTTATTCCTCTACTCCTTCACCATTCCATAACTCCTTTCTTCAACCAAGCCTGGATTCACATTTTCCCAGCAATTTAAAAGCAATAGGGCTGGGTATTCAGCTCAGCGGTTCGGTGGCCTGCCCTGCAAGCACAAGGACCCGAGTTCAATCCCCAGTACAAAAAAATAAAAATAAATATAAATAAAAGCAATAGGGCCAGGGAGTTAGCTCAGTGGTACTGCTGCCTGCCTCTTGAGGGCAAGGTCCCAATCAATCAGTCAATCAATCAATCAATGCAGTAGAAACTTTTTCTTGCGTTTCCTCAGAGATCCTCTCACATGGAGGGAGGCAGGTCTTCGACTTAGAAGCAAATTTGGGGTGACATGAATGCTGCTGAGGAACTCTAAGAGATGCTGACTAGAATCCAGTGGTTACCATGCTCCAACTCCTGTGGATGCATTATGAGTCCAGGTGGGAGCAGAGGTGTACCACACCACACGATTCTACAGGAGTGGCAAGGCCCAAGGCCAAGAGCGTGCACAGCTCAGGGTCCAGTCAACAAGGTGGCACCACTATGACCCACCTGGAAATAGGCTGCCAGCCCTCAAGGTTTATTTAAAAGAATCTGAGAAGACAGCCAGGGGACCGTATTTGCTGGGGAGGAGCATACAGATACCTGTTCATTTGGCAAGCTCTCAGTCAGGACTCTCAACAATTCCTTTTTTAAAATTCATTTTAAAATTTTTATCAGTACACAATGATTACACTCCTCACGGAGAGTAGGTACAGGTACATAATGCACATTTGGTACATAAGGTACATGTTTTGGCACTGGGAATTGAACCCAGAGCCTCAAGCACACTAGCCAAGTGCTCTACCACTGACCTACATCCTAGCCCCTACATTTCTTGCTGGTTGCTCAAAACCTACTCACTTTCCTCTTCAGGTTGAAACTAAAATGTAGTCTTGAAGATGCCCAAAACACATTCCCATTCCAGGAAAGAGGACACCTGGAGCCAACTCACTGAGGATCTGATTTATTATTAAAATAAATATTTACATTGAGAACACAGTTAAATTAGTAGCTCTCTTTATACTTTCACATTTGAAAAAGCAGCACAGAGGTTTCATTCCAGCTTTAAGCAGCTGAGATGGTATAAAGATCCTGTTTCCATTTCATAGGAGCCGGATTCTACTCACTCACTCCTCACAACAGCCAACTGGAAAACTACTCCATTGCTTCTGAAGTACTGGCTGGGCTGGCATCTGCGATAGTAGCTAAGTAAATGAGATTTCTATGTAACACCTGCTGATACCTAAGGATGAAAACAGGCAAACATTAGTAAAAGCTTGCTTCTGCTGACCATGAACAAAATCCTGGAAAAGAACTGACTCAATCAATCAAGAGGAATGGCTCATCAACTGACTTGATTCAGTGTTAGCAACCTTCTTGTTGAACTTAAGGAAAATCTAGCCAGAATCTCATCCATTCTCACCACTTCAGAGTTGCTTCTCTAGACCAAGCCATTGTTGCTTCTTGCCTGGACTGTGGCAATAGTCTCTTAGATCTACATTTACAGCTGTTTTATTCTCCAAACAGCAGTCTCAGTCATCATTTAAGTCAAAATCATACCTTAACTGTCTAAAATCCTCCGAAGGCTCCCACCTCATTCAGAGTAAAGCTGAGTCTTTTTCGTATGCTACAAAGCCCTACATGATGGGGACTTCCAGTTGTGTAGCTAGTTCCTTCAGCTCAAGTCTCTACTTAAATGCTGTCTTATCAGAGACACTTTATAAAAACAGCACTCTCCTCCCACTTGCCTTACTGTATTTTTGCAGTATTATGGATCAAACCCAAGGCCTCCTACGTGCTAGTGCTCTACCTAGCCACTGGTGCTCTACTTCCCTGTTTTATTCTCATGCAAAATACTATTATGTACCTAGTTGTATATTTCTTTTTAGACCCTAGAGTCTAGAATATCAGCCCTATGAAAGTAGAGCTGTTATAATTTCTTGCTACTGACACTAACTAGTACTCTACAGTACTGTTGAACAAACTTCAAAAAAGGAATGATACACTTCCGTGATCGATGAGAACTTACTAAAGCAGTGATTCTCAGTCAAGGGGTGGAGCTCTGTGTTTGGAAAGACAATCAGACTAGGGCTCGGGAGCATGGCCTGTGTAATGCGGAAAAGCATTATGGGATGATTCTGGTAAGTTTCTTGCCATGCACTAAAAGTCACAGCACCAAACGGGACATTCTGTAACCGTTTCCCACACAGAAAAGTATTACAAACTATAAAAAAAAAAAATTATTAAATATCACACACACCAAGACTTACTATACCACTGTTGGTGGCTCAGGGGTAAATAGAGCATGACTTTCGTAAACGTTTCTTCAGGGACAACAAAATAATTATTCTCTATCTGAAACGGGGTATAATTCACGAACCACATTTGGAAAGAAGATTCAGATTCTATTTTCTCTCATTTTGGTACCTGGCCAGAAAACACATTAAGTTACGCAGAATTTACCTTTGGCTTAACTTGGAAATCCTCGGTTGGTTTTCACAGATTGACTGTGAGTTAGAAAAGAAAAGAGCTCAGTAGCCATCTGGTCTTCCTCAACAGGGGTGAAGCTGAGATTCAGAGGGGCCACGGCTCCTCTCTATCCCGGCTGTCATCAGCGGGCAAGGCTGCACGCGCAGGTGGCTTTGCAGTGAGCACAACCCAGTTCTGATGAGGAAGCCACCTGTAACTCCAGGTTCTACAAAGCACTGGCTGTACGGTTTCGGCCTCCCTCGCCTGGCCTGCAAAGTGAGGCTCGTTTGCTTTCCATCCCTAAGACCCCCAGTTCGGGGAAGCTGCCGCGTCCTCCTGCTGGCTCTCCCGCCATCGGAGCGCCGGGGTGGGAAGGGGCACTTACTGAACGCACTCGTTCGCCCAGCCCTTGTTCTGATACTCCACGATGCAGCGGATGAGCTGGTCATTCTCTTCCAGGAGCTGCAGGGCCAGAGAAAGGCTCAACGCTTGCTACGCGAGGACGGCGGCGAGGGCGGCTCGCCGGGCGCTGCTTCTCCGCGGCCTCCACCCC